ACAAACCTTACAAGATCTACTCCCAGAAAAAGAAACTACTATGGAGAACAACTGGAAAGGGATTAATGAAACATCAACTTCAACGTGTCAGGAGGTTCTGGGTCATAAGAAACACCTTCATAAAGAATGTACCTCCATCAAAATCCTGGACAGGATTCAAAAAAAGAAGAACAAGAAGACACCAATTAACAACAGACAAGCAAGAACAGGGAAAGTCAAGGCACAGGCTGAATACACATAGGCAAACAAGCAAGTAAAGAAGAGCATTAGAGCCGACAAGCAGAAATACGTGGAAGACCTGGCAATGACAGTGGAAAAAGCTTCAACAGAAGGAAATAGCAGACAACTATATGGTATAACTGCTGGGGAGATCAAGAAAACTCCTAGAAAAAAGCCAACAAAGACTGTGGAAACGCTGAGAAACATTTTATCCAATCAGTACTCACTAGAAGTTTTACCATAAACACCTAAAAAGTGGAACGTCACATGTCGAGTTTCTGATTGGATAATTTCCTATACCGCTACTATGTCTAGTAGTATTCCAGAATTTTCGGGAAGCCCAAGAACATCTAAAATAATATAAAAACCCTAGATTTTTCTGCACGTAAATGAACCTTTGGAGTAAAGTGTTTCTTACATATTTCGCGCCTTTTCTCTCGTGTTCGAACCACTGTGTAGATTTAGCCTGTGGGTTATTAGAAGAGCTTGGGAACCGAATCTAGCGTTCAATTAGCAAGACTTATCGATAAAGAAAAAACTAGCAGGGAAATATGGTGGACCAAAGCGACCAGTCAATCAAAAAGTGAGCAAGTTTATCGCTAAGATTCAAGAGCAGAGGAACGGGTGTGTAGAATATTCTGAAGAACTTGGAAATAGACCAGCCCCACTAAACCCACTGGACATCGAAACAGCATACACAATCTTCCTATGGCTGTCGATCGAAGGAATCAGCATGAACACCAAACAGATCAAGAGTGAGAAAGCAACGGGATCAGACAACGCACCAACTTAAGCGCCAAAATCAAACATTCAGGTAACTGCAAGGATGCTCGACATCCTATTCAGAAGGATCTGGGTAGAAGAACAAGTGCCGCAGACTGAAAAGAAGGATACATCATCAAGAGACCAAAACAACATATCTGAGCAAATGTGAAAACTACATAAGCATTATAATACTATCAGTTCCATAAAACGTTTTCAAGTGTTTTTGGACCGAATGAAAGATTCGGTAGGCACCCAACTTCGAGATCAACGGGTTGGATTCCACAAGGATCAGTCGTGTTAAGACCGAATCACAACACTATATATCATTGTTGAACAATCAGCTGAACGGAACTCGTCACTATATATCAACCTCCTTGACTACAAGAAAGCGTTTAACAGAGCCGATATGGGAAGTTGTATAGAACCTTCTTAAACATTATAGTGTACCTGAGAAAATCATCAACATCATACGGAATTCATTTGACAGATTAAAATGCAAAGTGGTACATGCAGAACAGCTGACAAATGCATTCTAAGTGAGGACCGGAGTCGGACAAAGCTACTTACTCCCCCTCTTTTTCTCTTTCATCTGGTGGTTGACTGAACTATGATGACCTCAACATCTGACGGGAAGCATGAAATATGATGGACAGCTTGCATGCAGCTAGACGATTTGTACTTCTTAGATGATCCATACCTTCTGCCCAGTACAAACCAACAAATGCAGGTCATGACAACCAGTGTAATAGAAGCTTTTGCATCAGTAGGCTTCATCATACACAAAGAAAAAACCGAGATCCCCAAATACAACACCGAGAGCACTAGCCCAATCACACTTGAGAGAGAAGTTCTGGAAGAGGTGGGAACTTTCACGTGTCTGGGCAGAACAAGTGATAAACAAGGGGAACCTGATAAAGATATGAAGGCACGGGTTGGAAAAGCAAGGACAGCATTTCTACAGTTAAAGAATATATGCAACTCAAAACAACTGCCAATCAATATCAAAGTCAGAATTTTGAATACGAACGTTAAGATAGTTCCATTGAACGGAGCTGAAACTTGGGGAACTATCGCAACCATCATAAAAATAGTAGAAATATCTATAATCGATTGTCTACTCAAGATATTCCAGACCCGTTGGCCGGATACTAACGGTAACAACCTACTATAGCAGAGAACAAACTGGCTTACACCTGAAGAGGAAACTGGGGAAAAAACGTTGGATGTGAATAAGACATACATTGTGGAAATTATCAAACTGTATCAAGAGGCAAGGCCTAATTTGGGATCTTGAAAGGGAAAGGAAGACAGAAAGACAAAGAAACATATTGCAATGGAAATGGGGAGGAGACATCAAAAGAATGAATAGCGACTAGATAGGATTGCCCACGACAGAGTTGGTTGGAGAATGCTGGTGGGCGGCCTATGCTCCTCGATGGATAACAGCCGCAAGTACGTCATGTGTCTATCAATGTCAGTAGTTCCGATGGAATGTTTTGAATTATTTCATTAAAGCGTTAAAAAATTGAAATATAAAGATACTCAAGTCTACTTTTTTTTCTTACTTTCATCTTCTGGTGCAATTCGGAAAGCTAGTCAAAAAACCTAACTGATCTTTCGCATAGAATCTCTGTTTGATATATGTAATAGCTGTTACGTATTTTAACAATTATTGTCATGTAACTATGTGTACTTGATTTTCCTTTCTCAAATTTTGATTGGGTTCACTTTCTGTGTTTGTATTTTAAAATGTCAGCTCAGTTAAATGTGTTACTCATAAGTAACATAAACTCCTATACTAAAATAACTTCCTCATGGAGAATAACAGCATAAACCCTTCCTTATTTTTTCGAATGACTCACCACATATTATAAGCAAATAATCTTAGAAAAAGAACTTATTTTCAATCTAACAGCTCTGAATTCAGGTCTATTAATTAAGCTATTCATGAACTTGAAAGGTCTATTCACTCAGTCACATAGTGAAATTAAATTATTTAAGATCAGTAACTACTGGTCGGAAAGACATTTGTTCAAAGTATATGTCAAACAAAATCACATTGAAAAACTTCGATGAATGAGCTGAGAATACTGGAATATTCTTGTGAAAATTTATATATACATTGCTATTTTTGCTTAGAATGTATTTACGTTCTATTCAAGTGTGATTTTGATTTTGAAGCTAATCGAGTGAGTGAATTATCCGAAAATGCTAGACAGTAGAGGAATATTAGGCCGAATAAGGGGACTTAACAGTAACAAAAGAGTTGAAATAATTTATAGTGATTAGACCCTCATTAGTGGTCATTGTCATTGTTTGTTCAATTCTCTATTACTCATCAGATTCTTTCAATCAAGTTGTAATATGGCCATCAGTCTAGGTGGATTAATACCGTCTAAAGAGTAGTAATAAAACCCATGGAAGTAAAGAAGTCTAGATATGGGAAATACTCAGGAAAGAAGAAACTATATGAGGGGATAATTGTTATGAAAATTAAGATTTTGAGGAAGGCTTAGAATGAATGTACTGATACCGAATTCAAGCTATTTTCTAAGGTCTTCCATCATTGATCGTAATTATCGAGCGAAATAGTAACTATTATGCAAAGTAATTTAAATAATTGCAATTATGGAAACTAGTCGGTTTCTCAATATTTTATTAGTGATCTAAAACTTCTTTTTTACTTTTGAGCGCCAAAATTTCATCATCAACTGACTATCATTATTATTGGCAGATATTTGTCCTTGCTTCGTTGGGTTGACGATAACTCTGTAACACTTTTCCTATTCTACAAACAGTTATTCATTCTATATTTTCTTTCTGAGTGTATAAATAAAGAACAATTAAGCTCTTGTTTGTGCTGGATGATCTAGACTTCGCAGATGATCTGGCTCTCCTATCGCACACTTAAAAACAAATGCAGAAGACCACCAGTGTAGCAGCAGTAGGTCTCAACATGCACAAAAGGAAAAGTAAGATTCTCCTATACAACACAACATGCACCAATCACATCACATTAAACGGAAAAGATTTAAAAGATAAAAAAACCTTAACATATCTAGGCAGCATCATTGATGAACACGGTGGACCTGATGCAGATGTGAAGGCGCAGATCGGAAAAGCAATAGCAGCATATTTACAATTGAAGAACATCTGGAACTCAAAATAACTGTCTGTCAACCAACATCAAAGTCAGCATTTTCTATACAAATGTCAAAACAGTTCTATTGTATGGGACGGAAAGTTGAGGAATTACGAAAGCCATCATTCAGAAGACACAAGTGTTCATCAACAGTTGTCTATGCAAACTACTTCGAAACGGTTGGACAGACACTCTCAGTAACAGCCTTCTGTGAGAGAGAACAAATCAGAATCCAGCGGAGGAAGAAACGCTGGAAGTGGATAGGACACACATTGAGGAAAGCACCCAACCGCATCACAAAGCAAGCCCTCACATAGAATCCTCAAGGCCAAAAGAGAAAAGACGAAAGAATACATTACACCGAGAAATGGAAACAGATATGAGTGGAATGAACAAAAACTAAATGGAACTAGAAAGGAAGATCCAAGACAGAATGGGTTGGAGAATGCAGGTCGGCGGCTTATGCTCCGTTGGTAGTTAATTATTATTTATTTATTTTAACACATAGATATTGGTACAAGGAGGCATCAAATACATATGCGACACACAAATCTCATTTGATATGTGTGAGGGCTGTGATACTGACCGGGTGCCCAAACCGAAGCAGGTGGTTTTCTTAGGGGGCTACACCCCGAGCCTTCGACCTGAAGGTCTGATTCACAAGGCAGTGGAGCATCGTAAGGAGATGCAATCCCATGGAAGCCGGTGACCAACAATTGGTTCATACGCCATTTGTTCCTTCAGGATACTGGAACCCATGTGCACCAATGGTTTGGAATCCGGTTAAAGCACCGGACATTCGCATTTCGTCCTCTCATTTTCGTAAACAACAGTAATGCCACGAGAAGTCAGTGAGTAGGACTTCCCTAGCAGAGGCTATATACGCGTGGCTATGTGAGAGCATTTGGAGAGGGAGAGCGGACTCTCCCTACTCTCGGCCGTAACAGGGCATTTGGGAGCACCATTGGGAGGAAGAGGCCTAAGTAAATAAGTAAAGTAAGTCCTTGTTTGTATCATTCATTATCTTAAACTAAACAAACATCTAATATCTACTTCATTAATGTAGAACAAAACACTAAAAGAATTCTTCAATAAATACCATGTATTTTTTTAAAAAAAAATACTATTTACAATACACAGATGATAAGAATCTCTTCTTACTTTTTATCTTCAATCTAATAAACCATTTTCTAACATTAATTTTCTAACTTTCTCTTCTATTTCAGCATAAGATAATTGTTTACATTGTTTATTATTTTTTGATGGTTTACACTTTTTCTTTATTTTTTTCATTTTCATTTGAATTGGTTTATTTGTTGTTGTTGGTGGTGGTGGTGGTGTTGTTGCTATGGACAATAAATCTTGTTTTATTACATTATCTTTTAATGGTTTTGAATAATTTATAAAATTGGATTTTTTCAAAGATTTATTCAATACATTCTTGAATGGATTACTATTACACATTTGTAAATATTGATCAAATAAATCAAATGCATCATTTAAATATTGATTAGTATGATGATTATAATTTAATAATTCTTTGATAATTACATTACGTACATAATGATAACGTTCATTATTATTATTATTATTAATATTATTATTATTGGATGGAATTAAACTAATACAATGACATATATTATGAAAAAGATAACCACTTGGAAACATGAAATAAATCGATAAAAAATTTAAACAAGTTTTCAATTGATTTTTTTGATTTATTGTTACTATGGTATCTAATAAATGAATTAATGTAGATAATGTCATATAAATCATTTGTAATTGACCATATATATGTACATAATTAATATTTAATCCATTTAATTGTTTCTTATTAACAGTTTTTTTAATATTTATAAAAGATTTTATTTGTTTTAAAAAATGATTTGCACATTTATAATAATGTTTATTTAATAATTTATAGGATGATAAATGATGATTAGAATGAATGGTTAATAAATATGTACATATACATATAGCACCAAATGTCAATGAGATAGGACATTGAGTGATATCAATATTACTAGTAGTATTAGTAGTAGTAGTATCAGTAGTAGTTGTAGTATTAGTAGTATCAGTAGTAGTTGTAGTAGTAGTAGTATTAGTAGTAGTATAAAGTGGTATAGATTGACTTTTATAATTCAATACATTAATTAATACAATAGATATTAACCAATCATTATGTAATTCCATAAAATGATAATCCAGATTTAAATATTGTTGAAGAAATATTAAACGTTGATCTCTTTTTATATTTAGTTCATTATTATTATTATTATTATTATTATTATTATTATTATCATTATTATCATTATTATTAGTAGTAGTAGGAGGAGGAGTAGTAGGAGGAGGAGGAGAAGGAGGAGGAGTATTACATAATGATAATAAGTGTATTGGTTCAACAAATATTTTACGTTTTTTTATATGAAATGCATTTTTACGATCATATTCTATAATATAATACAAAGTATTATTATTATTCTTAAATTGATTTAAACCAATTAATTGATTTGGATAACGTAATGTATAATTTGATTCAATGCCTAATAATAAATTATAAATTAATGTACGAAGATATATTGTATTAGAATAAATGGATGAATAATGATATAAGGATTCTATACAACATAGACATATTGTACCATAAGATAAGATACTATCTAAAAATATTGGTAAAATTAAATATTTTCTAAATGAATTTATTAATTCATTAGGCCAATATGTTGTTATTTTATATGAATTATTACTAATATGAATGGATTCATTAGTATTATATTCATTCAGTTCATTAACATCACTACCATCATCATCATCTTCTTCAGCATCATCATCATTATTGTTATTATAGTCAACATGACCATCATCATCTTCTTGTTTTTTAATAGTTAATATTTGATTTTCATCAATTTCACTATCAGATTCAGAAGAACATGATGAATTCAATAGTGATGATTGTTGTTGAATTCTGACAGATTTCATCATTGTATTACGACTATCATCTTCAGCATCATCATCACTATCTTCTTCTTCTTGTTGTTGTTGTTCTTTAATAGTTAATATTTGATTTTCATCAATTTCTTTATTATATTCAGAAGGACGACTATTACTACTGTTGCCAATACAACTAATATCAGATTTTATATTATTTTTATTCACAAATGTAGTAATACTTTTAAATGATTTCAAATCATTATTAAAATGTAAATAGAATAAATTTGGATGAATATGATAAGTATTAATACTATACATTAATTGATGATATAATTGATTACGTTCTAATTTAGGATATTTATTTAATAGACATTGAATTGGTTTATCAAGATTAGTATTATTATCATTAAATTGTAATAACCAATTAATTAATTGTAATATAATCAATTTACGACGTTTTAATTTCATTTGTTTAGTCACAGTATTATTATTATTATTATTGAATAAGATTGTTTTACCATTAGATGATATAGGTAATTTATTGATAAATCGATTAGATGAAATATAATCATTCCCTAATAAACTAGCTAATAATGAACGTTGATCAATCGATAAATTTTTTAAACCTGGTCCATTAATTAAAAATTTTTGACACTTTAAATACATACATACTTGGTTATGTTTTTGACAAGAATAACATTGAATTATATTCATTATTGGTTTAAATGATATAAATGATAACGGTAGAAATGAGACACCATCATCATTCATTGGATCATCATTATCATTATCATTATGATTAGGGATAGTGATATAAAAATCGGAATCATTACTTATAATTGGACATTTAAAATATATGCCTAAATTCATTACATTTTGATCTGCTTCACTATCACATGTAATATAATGAATATTTAATTGATTTAATATTTGAATAAATGTTATAATGGTTAATGGTGGAAGTAATTGAACATTATATAATGAATGAGTTGATGATAATTGATCATGTTTAATATAATTTAATAATTGACGACATGTTTGCATTCGTTGATAATTTCTTTTCATTTGTGTATTCAATTTGAAATGCTAATATATATTACGGAATCAAAAAAACAAAAAAAAATTTAACATTATTAAAATAACCAATGATGGATAATGCCTAGCAGTGCAATCCAGTTTGACATGTGTTTCATCCTATTTGAGACTGATCATCAGCTGGATTTACCTGCATCTAAGAGTCGATGTTCACTCTGGGACTCGAACCCAGTAACATTCGCTTTAAACGTCATCGCGTTATCCACTCAGCTACTAAGTCCTGATAGCCACGTGCTTGTGCAATCGGTTGAAGTTTAAATTCACTTGGTATTGCTTGGCTTGTATCTTCCCATTGAGGTTTAAGTATGTAATTGATAAGTCTGTTGTTGGCATATGTGAATACTGTACGTATGCCTCGATATTACCTTCATTCAAAAGCTCTTTGTAAGCAATGATGGATAATGCCTAGCAGTGGAATCCAGTTTGACGCGCGTTTCGTCCTAATTAGGACTGGTCATCAGCTGGATGTACCTGCATCTCAGAAGTGATATTCACTCTGAGACTCGAACCCAGTAACATTCACTTCAAACGCCATCGCGTTATTCACTCAGCTACTGAGTCCTGAGAGCCACTTGCTTGTGTAATGGGGTGAAGTTGAAATTCACCTGGTATTGTTATAACAGATTGATCAATTACAGTCTTAAACCTTAATGGGAAGATGCAAGCTAAACAATACCAAATGAATCATTAAAATAATTTTATGAATATTCAAAATAATGATGATGATAATAATAACACAAACTACTGATTAAAAATTTGATTGTAAGAGCCAATTATATTACTAATCATCCATAGTTATGTAATATGAGGATGGTTGTAAATAATAATGAAATCATCAGGTAGAATTGGATTGTGAAACTTTAAAAAAATTTTACTATTTAGTCCGACTTCATTATTATTAGTTGATAATAGTGGATACGGAGAACCCACTTAGGGGGAATTGGAAACCCCCCTGACTTCAAACTAATGGCAGAGACATTCTATTTAGCTCCCAAATATCCTGGTACAGATGAGAATGAGGAGAGCTAACTATAACTCTCGAAATGCTCTTACATGGCCACATGCATACAACCACTGTCAGGGAACCAATCACTGCCTTCTTTTGGCGGGGGTGTTGTCTACGAAATTGAAAGGACGAAAATAGAATATCCGGCGTTTTACCCGGTTTTGTGGACACAGAGAGTTCACCTAGGGGAGTTGGAAAACCTTGATTCCAAACCAATAGTGTACATGGGCTCCAGGATCCTGAAAGAATAAATGGCGTATGAACCTACTGTTGGTTACCGGCTACCATGGGATTGCATCGCGCTAGTTTGCTCCACAGACTTGTGGATTAGACCGTCAGGTCAAAGACTCGCAGTATGGTCTCCTAAGAAAACCACCTGCTTCAGTTTCGGCACCCGGGCAGTATATCAGCCCTCACAAAAATCAAATGGTTTATGTGGCGCATATCTGTTTGGTGCCTCCTTGTACCAATGTTTATGTATTTAAATAAATAGATATAAATAAACAATTAGACAGTTAGACATATAGTATAACTGTAATACTAGGAAACCAGTCAATACAATACAGTAATACAGTAGCTGACGATAAAACTCAGTAGAGCAAGGTATTAATCTTGTTGTCTAATGAATAATGATCTATAGAATTTGTATCTGACAAATAATTACCTTCTACATAATTAGAAAAATGTTTATTTTACCGTTAAATATTTCGTAAACTAATATGTACAGCCCACAGAAATTCACTAGAGACTAACAAGTATTATTAAAAGCTGGATATCGGTATTGACTAGTTAAGGGCTCTGGGTCAACAACTCGATCCTCTTCATAATGACCATGTGACCTACTTACTAAGTAGAGGTTTATGTATCTGGGTTTGAGCCAGACTATCTTTTAATCGACGACTTATGATACAGCACAGTTATTTAAACCGAAGTAGGTGGAAAGACGTCTCAACCTTTGACCTATTGATTAAAAGTTGAATCCTTTGACTGCCAAGCTGTCAATTTTTAGAATAATCATCACTCACTTAAACATAAAATCAATTTGAGAAATCTGTCGAACACTTCAACAAAGATACAATAATACCTTACGCACAACATATGGCGATAACGTTTAGTACTTTTGTTAACGGGACATAGACTGGATCAAAGCATGCTCAATGCACGATTGCTTTGGTGCACGCTGATTGGCCAATTCTTACCCAATCAAAGTTAGTCAATACTTAGTGAACACTAGAAATCTCATGTGAAAAACTATAAATATACTAACGTTTTCCATATTGTGCTTCTTACTTCCATCTAACCTTGTTATTTGGAGTATAATCTCTTTTCCTGTGCAACCGTGTTCTGATTTGGGGGACTTGTCGAGTGAATCGGTGTCCGAGAATACTAAGCAACAGGAATAGCTGGGTTATAACCGTAAGAGAGAATTATAACAACTTTAAGCAAAGTTATTTCAAATCGACGATTTGAAACCAATCTATCAAATCGGAAAAATTCAGTTCATCAAAAGTTAGATAAGATTTAATGGTAAATTATGAATGAGCCTATTAAGTGAATCAAACCCTGAACTGTATTTACAAATCTCTGATACAGTTAATATCACGACTGTTGCATGCTCTGATAAAATAAGGAACGGGCACTTGTTGAAGGAAATTAGTCACTTTTTTAGCGAAATATCCTGCTTCGGTTTAGACATTCAGGCAGTATCACAGCCCACACACAAACCAGATGACAATTACTACCGGAAAAATTATTCTTCCTTCAATTAGCATTCAGACAAATAACATTCACAATCACTTGATAACATTAATTTTTATTCCATTTATACACTTATTTACTCTCTTTTGAGGTCAACTTCGATTCGTTGGACAGGAATGTTCTCTGCAACTGTCTATTGAGTAAGGGTGTACCTGAGTTTATTAATATCTTGAAAGCCCTATACACTAACACCTCATGCAAGGTGAGGGCATACAACCACCTCTCTCCATTGTTCCATTCAAGCAGTTGGGTTAGACAGCGTTGCCCAATCTCACCCCCCCTCCAAAACTTTGCTATCGAAACAGTTTAGATGAACATAGATAATGGTGGTGTGAATCTATTGTCTGGAGAAAGGCTTCTCAACCTTAAGTATACAGATGATATTGTCGTACTGGGCGATGCTACCCAAACCATACAATCCGCACTTAATCAACCGGAAAATTGGTGTCCGTAGGTATGTTGTGTGTTTTGCACTTTCGAAGTGCAAAGTACTTCTACAAGATTGGCAGGACCCTGAACCTGCACACATCCTGGGTAGTGAGAAGATAAAAGTAGTCGAGAAGTTCGCGTATCTGAGTAAGTGCATAAGTGCTGGTAGTGGCTTGAGTGATGAGATCGATTCACGTATAGTGAAAGCCGGAGTGGCTTACGCCAGTCTGTGACATCTTTGGCGCCTTCGTGATGTTGGTCTGGTTATAAAAGATCGGGTCTGCTACGTATCGGTAAGAGTAGTTTTGCTTTGTGTTTGTGAAACCTGGCCCCTCCAAGTTGATGATGTTAGACGACTCACTGTGTTTGATCATCGTTGTCTCCGGAGGATTGCTGACATTCAGGGGCAACACCATGTTAGTAATGCAGAGGTTCGGCATCGTCTGTTCGGGCACAACGAAGATAATTCAATTTATCTCACTATCTTGAAACAAGGGCATCGGTGGTTCGAACATGACATACGAATGTCGTCCCAAAGAATTCCACATCGTACATTATTTGCCGACACTAGAACCGGTTGGAAAAAGCGGAGAAGTAGTCAGTTTATGATATGGTATCGTGGTATGAGAGAAAGCTGTGCAAGAATGGCTTCTGTTGGCCCTTCATGATCCCCTGGTTGGGGTCCTAGAGATGGTGCAACACATGTTATCAGACATGGCTCATAATAGAAGCCAGTGGCGATTCTGTTGTAACTTTCTGCATAAAAAATGAATGTAACTTCCTTAACTGGATGAATTCTTTCTGCTGTATTTTTGATAACTAAACTGCCTCTCCCATTGCTATTATTTCACCCTCATACACTTATTTCTGTTTGTTGTTATTCGCCTTTTCGTTGTACGCACTGTACATTCTCTTCATAACCTCATTATTATTGTGTGGTGTAGATGTATTCAGTGCCCCTTTGTACCAATATTTGTGTTCAAATAAATAAAACAAACAAATAAAAGACACATACAGAAGGCGCGTTGGTCATTTTTAATGTTCTCAGTGGCTTGCGAAGGTAATATTTAAAAGTAATCCTCAAATCTATTTCACAACCTATGACTATAATGTCAGAGCAAAAAAAGATGGGACATTCCAGAATTTGTCTCTAACTCCAAGAAAGTATGGCCAACTGAGTTTTCAAAAAAAAACCTTCTTCCAAAGCCAACAAAAACAAAGCAATGTCCCACATTGTAATACTTCAAAGAAACCAACGTATTCAAAAGAACTATCTAAAGAAGTAGTTGGGATAATTCTGTCATTTTAAGTACATATAGCTAATAGTACTTCAAGTTTTACAACGTCCGTATATCTACTGTCTATAAATCTAAGGACCCAAAAATTTACACAAACACAATATTAAATGGAAAGGTCATCGTAAAACTACTTGATCATTAATTGTAATATAGTCATTTGTATAAGTGCTTAAATATTCTCATGTAGTACCACCAACCATGCCTACACCAAAAAGAATTTTAAACTATACCAAACTCTTTAAAAATTCTTCAAATATTGTCAAATATGATTAAAACTCAAGATCTATGGAAAGATAAAGGATAAGTGTATATAAATTGATGAAATCGATTCTGACTCACATCAATTAATGCCTCCAAAAAGTAACCACGATTATCCTACAGACCTAAACCAGGTAGACTACACTGACTAACATGGCTCAGATCAATAGTTAATACCTTTATCAACAGAAAACACGTCTTGATTTGTATGTCTGTGGCTTTTTTCCAACCTACACTTACGTTTTCTAGCATCACATGTTGAGATAGGCAGTGGCCACGGTCACAATTATCACAAACTATAACAATACTTTTGGTTAAAGTTCAGTGAAACCTTACAGACTGGCTCTGTATACTTGTGACGTTTTGAAAACCATAAAAATAGGGCTTAAAGTATAAAATTGTAGCTAATTATTGATTTGCATAGAAAAAAAAACCATTCATACTGATAAAAAAAACTCGAACTCACATCATGACACCCATCTAGAACAAAAATAGGGTTTATATTACACCGTTTTAATGTATTGATAAAACGATGAATTACTCCACTGAATGCTAAATATTCTCCATTAAATTGTGTATATAATCCAGAATCGAAATAGAGAAAATTTAAAAAATTCAATCCATCAATAATCACAGTTGTATTATGTAATTGATATTCAACAAAATTTCGTGGATCACTTTGTAAGTAGGTTGTTAATCCTCGTACACCCATGTTGATGATAATACTAATAATAATAATAACAATAGGAATTGTTAAATAAAATAGTTAAATCTCCAGTAATATGATTTTGGCCTCAATCTAATACACTGTTAATTACTTTATTCATTGTCTGTAATATCAAAAGAAGAGAGGATAGTAACAAATAGCATTTTAAATATTCCAGAAATATAAGAAGATAAGATGTTTGAAAATAGTTATAATCAATGTTTGTATTTGACAAAAATAACAAATCTAAATAATTACAAACTTCGTTTCAATGGTAAAACAGGCCAAACTGGTGAATCACGACAAGGTGATACAAATTCATAATAATGTAATAGAGAAGCTTCAAGCATTTCAATTTGAGAATCAATTGTTTGAATATCTGTAGATTTATTCAATTTACGAGGTGGTGCTTTTAACATTGATTGAATATCACATACATTTGACTCAATATTATCACGATTTTGACGATGTTGTATAGTTTTCATCATAAAATTAATATAATCAGGGTCAAGTGTAATATCCTCTTCTTCTTCTTCATCTTCTTTATTAAGTGCATCTTTATGATATCCTGAAGTTGTAATATAATCAAGAGCATATGACGGTAGACTATTAGCTAAAGTATCCATTCGTTTAAGTGTATTATTATAAGCTTTTCTAAAGTATTCCTGCCTATAGTATAAACGTAGAACTTCATCTTCTGCATTTTTCAATAGACTAGGAACAATAGTATCTTGATGAGACGATTTACTAGATAAAGGTCCTCTTGGTAGTTTTTCAAGATATTTTAATTCATCTTCAGTAATTAAAGGTGAAAGAAGTTGAGAAATGTTTTGAACTAAGTCGACGTTGAAATTCATGTCTTTTTTACATTCATGTTTCCTAAAAGATAATATCATTATTCAGTGAAAAATGATACATATAAAAATATTGGGAGAAGAAAAAACGTGACAACAAAAGACTTATATTTATTCAACAAAACGACTCTGGGTTTGTAATATGTTGTCTTTTAAATCGGAAACATTTGGAGTTACTTCGTAATTTGTAATAACAGCTTCTCGTCTCGGTGCTGGTGTATAATCTCCCCGCAACCCAATGTAATGAATCCGTGTTGTATCACCCCCGTAATTAGCACTGAAATGTAAACTCAGTGTTTGCACATTAGAAAAGCGTGAAATTTTCAATGGATATATCACTTCACCATTTGGATCTACAGTTAATTCGAGTGATTGTTCACATTCAGCCTATTTTCTTGGCATTAAATTACATTTAATTTAAAATAAACTTACACTTAAATCTTCAAATGTCATGAAAGGTTTATTTTTGTACAACGACACTTGACTTGGATGTTGTTCGGTATCAGCACCAGAAATAATAATACTCATTAGTTTTATGTTTCCAGTAAACGGTATATTAAATAACAATTCCTGATCAACATCACTTTCAACATAAACAGTTGAATCTTTACGATCCTAAACACAGTAATTATGAAACAGTAAGCATACCTCATAAGGCTTGAAAACAAGTTTACCACTTCCAGAAACAGATTCATTCAAACATTCTACATTATGTATATCAATAAACCAGTACAAGCTAAACGATGGGGAACTATCGGCTTTATGCGAATGACAACAATGACCACTAATGCTGTGATCACACATGTAGCAACTGTAAATAAAATGAACCATTAGAAAGACATAGATCCTTTTCTTCATAGATCTGGTATCAGATTTGTAAATTTAAGAAAAGTGAAGCACAAGGTATGACCAGTCAGTTAAATACGACGTAAGGACCTGGTACAAGTGTACATTAGTTTGTGACACCCCTTTTGCAGAGACATGAAATCGTCAGAGTAAATCCCAAAGTAGTCGAGGAAGTAACGGGACTAATAGTGATGATGGAAAGGATAAGACATGCAAGATACAATTCGAGAACATATCAATGAGTGGAATAATTTAAAAAATGAGGAATTTAGGAACTTGGAACTTCTGGGAAGGCAAAGAGTGAATGCACCTGGGCCATTGCTAACGATGTTGAACTGCCATGCCAAGTCTTCAACCATTAATTACGATAATCACGCGGAGCCCGACCAAGAGTGAAGTAGTCGGACGCTACCATAACCTCACTTATCTTGGAAGTCTGACCACCCTTAATAGATTGATGTCTGATGAAATCTCTGCACAGATTCAAAAACTCGTTCGTAAAAATAAAGGCATAAAGCAATTTTAATCTCATGGTTTAATGGAAGACAAAGAGTGTATACACCAACGCAATTGTGATCGATCCTGAGCCATGTTACAAAGAGTCTCCAACCATTGGTTACGATAGTCACGCGGATCCCAACCATCTACTAACATGACTCGGACTAGAAGTTAGTGACTTAAAGGACTGGTGCCACATTTTGTTTTGGCCGCCCCAACTTTCTTCCAACCACCCTCAACAACTTCTGGTGTGAGCCATGTTGGTAGATGCAGACTACTTGGTTGGGGTCCGTGCGACTATCGTAACCAATGGTTGGAAACTCTGGGTGACATGGCTCGGAGCGAGGAATTTAATTGCCATAGTTATAGAGTTCATGGCTCAGAATCGATCACAATGGTGTAGGTATATACACCTGATGTCATGTGTTGGCTGGGCCGCCTCTACTTTTCTTCTAACCCACTGGTACAGCAGTAATCATTACGCATCGGCAATCATACCGAAGTAACCGAAGTGTTTTTGGCAGTGATTATTTGACCGGAAACCGAAAACCTGGGCGACTGAATGAAATCCCGCTTTGGGTTCCACTTGAAGTAGCTCATATCTACGAACTTAAATCAAATTATGTGAATCGGATACCAATTTGTATTTACGAAGAAATTATGACTGATTAGAAAGGAAACTTCAAAGCCGAAGTAATATGTTATTGTGAAAGCTTTCACGGAATATCGAAACAGGAATGAGTAACGGAAAATATGAAACATAATGAACTTTCAGTCAGCTTGCAAGTTTCACATGGGTAATCCCTACAATCACTAGGACCATTCCAGCTCTCCTTGAGAAAATGGAAAAGAAACAATGGGTGCGGTGAAACACGAAAACATGGTCAAGATAGCCCCCCAGCCTACTACTGAATGACCAAAATTTCTGAATACCTGAATGTTAAGACCCTACCTATATTATAAGAGTGTAGTATGCACAACCTGACGAATGCCAGTTAATGGTAAATTATGTGAAATCTTGTATTCTAATAATAAGTATAAGCCTCCACTGTTGACCATATCAGTATTGCAAAGTGTAGCCATAAAACAAGTAGAATGACGGAAATGTCAAATGTCTCTTCGTTGTGGCTTTTTGTTTTCATTTTCGACTAGGACCTCTACCTTATTACCTCTTTCGGGAATGTCTTTTTACACATCTCTCGGTTCAAAATCCATTAAAAATAAGTAACGTATCCATCGTAAGAATCAGGAAATTTTAAACGAGACGTTGTGACAATTGTCACAACATTGTGGAGATTCTGGGGATTTCCCAAGGTCTGGGGAAATTTTTGAGGTTTTCGTGCCATTTCCCCAAAAATTTACTATAGCGGCTTCCTCAAAATTTGCAGCTTGGGGAGACTGATAAATTTAGGAAGTTTCGTTTAAACGCTGGAAATAATTTTGAAAAATCACAACGGAAAGCCCAGAACGAAACTAAGTTTCAATTTTTTTCGAAATTCACCCAGAGTTTCCCAGAATTGGTAGTGTGAGATATCGCACACTTGACACGTGACATTGTCACGCAAAAGTACTCAACTTATGGAAAAAGGACAGCTTTTCACTTGTCTTCCACAATATTTTATGCGAGACATAGTCCCACAAGGCTTCAGCACTAAAGTAACCTTGGAATTATTCTGAAATGATAAACACAGAGAACCAGAAGAATTCGACTAAAGAAGGATGACTACTACTAGTAGTAACGCTACACTTAAGCTAACCGCGGCTCCAAATTTGCAGTTTTAAGGTCTGACGTACCTTCTTAGTGTTTATTCAACGCTCTATCAAGAAACGTTTCATTTTACCACCCTGCTTCAAAAAGATCTCTTCACAGTAATTCTGAGTAAAAGGGACGTAAAAGAACTTTCGAGAGTTGGAAATGAGTCACATTCGTCGTGCCTAAAGGCATCTAACTTGTAGCATCTATTTAACCGTATTATCATTGTGTAAAGTGGTTTTCGTAACCCTTTACACTCTAGCAAGTCATTATTGTATTTTAGCGTTAAACTGCACCCTTGAGCGTATCATATTGTGGGGGATAACGAAAGAGCCTGCTTATAAATGCTTGCAGTCGTCTTAATGAGTGTAGCGGTAAATAAATCCCCAAAATAAGTAGCTCTGTAGGTCTTCGATATTGTATACTGACCACATTCGTTTTGATAGACTCACCTAGCTGAAGGCGCTTGGTCTTGCATCCGCACCGAATCATGGTTGGTAACGCCATGCTCAACATCCCGTGCAATCGCTAGCCAGATTAGATCAGTCGATCCTCGATATATTGGTAGCCTATCAGATATATCTTCGAACCTCCTCACTTCTGTCTTTTGATTTCACTTGGTGGGTACGATTCATATTAGAAGGTGTTAATGATTAGAGCGTTGTCAAACTCCGACTGCCTGTGGCAGCTTCATGAGAATAGCATACAAAATGTTACATTTGCCCCTGAATTAGGCAAAACTCTATTCATCCATATTCCAGATGGAGCGTCAGGAGTAATAATCACACAGTACTCAAAAGTTATTTCGTACAACCTGAACGGTAATGTCACAAAACGATTGTTTACTATTTCCTCTTGACAAAGTTGGAAGGTCAAGGATGGTTCGAAACCCTGCATCTCTTCGGTGTTAATTGGCTCACTAAAAAGCCGAAAGCCTGCACTACAAATTGATATCGTCTTCTAAATACAATACCTCCAAACCGATGGCTGGCTTATTCGTCATACTTTTTTTCTAAAGTCATCACCTCAGAAATTAGGAAAAAGCGATCGTTAGC